TTTTTTAAATTCACGTATTACTATCATTTCAATTCTATTTCTTTAATGTTACAAATGCCATCAATGGGCCAATATCCGCACAATAAAAAAGACATGACAAAAGGAGACAAGTTGAAAACACTCTTAACAGAGCATAGTAATAATTATTTATGCATTATAGGGTAGGGACGTCACTATGCTAAGGTCTTATGAGCCGCATAAGCCAACCTAATCAAACTATGCATCCCGGGGTAGGGACGTTACTCCACTAAGGTACTAGTGACCACCCGCATACACCCCACCAAATATTGACAAAAAGGTCTTTACATTTAAGGACTTCTCTGATAGCATTTTTCTTAGAATAGAAAGATCGAGATGAACAGAAGACGCGAGCGAATTCCAGTGAGGTAGAGTTGAATGCAAGAACCGAGTAGTGTGTCCACGGAAGAGAAGAAAAGCAGAGTAACGGTTGTGGCCAAGGGTCATTTACATAGAACGGGCAGGGGGAGAAAAAAAATGAAGAGGGTGGCCAGGAGATCAAACGATGTCATAACAGAGGGCTTTAAGCAGGAAGTATTGTTGTCGTTGAATGAAAGGAATAATTTCACAATAAGAAAAGACAGTTGGATAAGTATGTAGCGTGATCAGAGAGAAGTCGAGCAACGTAAAGTTCAAGACGTTTAATTTGAGTGATTTCACATTTAGGAAGGAGACCATATATACAACAACAGCACTCTGTAGCAGGTTTATGTATAATTTATATATAAAAGCCATAGTAACGGAATCCAGATTTGTAGATGGAAGAAATTTGCGAGTTCCTTTTTAGGTTATCTGAGATTAAAATGCCATGGTATTTGAAACTGTGAACTTCTTCAACAATTGTGCCATGGAGAAAAAGTGAGGGAAATTAGCTGGATTTCTACGAAAGTCTATAGGCCTATTCATAATTCTACATAGGGGCGAAGGACAAACCATTGCTGTGAGACCAAGATTCCAGGAGTGAGGCAATATGTGGTACCGTTAATTGGTCCGAAGATACGTCCTTAGAATAACATAACATAACGATTTCATCGGCATAAAGTAAAAATGGGCAACCAAAGTTGCTGGCAATGTCATTGATAAAACATAAAAAATAAAAAGAATAGATCCAAGTTTAATGCCTTGAATGACACTACTTTTGATAGGAAATTTGCTTGAAATGATTCCATTAAATGAAGTGCATTGAGGTCTATCATAGAGACAATTGCCAATCCAAGAATCAAGAGTGTGGCGAATACGAAAATGATTATTAGACAACTTAAATAAAAACAATTCATGAGGAACAGAATCAAAAGCACGCCGGATATCAAGGAACCTATTAGTAATTTTCCAAAACACTTTTATATCCCGTTTATTCTGCTTTCTTTGCTTACTTAGATGGAATAGACAATAACTGGAGTTGTGTCAGGAGAATCAAGTATAGGTGTAATTTTGCCCTACCTGAGGTGGAAATGTACTGAATATTCAGTATGTGTGAAAACTGCAAAAAAAAAAAATCGCAATTTGTACTCGGGTGGAATTCGAACGCACAATCTCCAGATCTTTAGCCTGGCATCATACCTCTCAGTAGACCACCGAGATTGCGCCTGATGGTCAGGGTTGAATTCGAGTCCAAGTAAGCAGCGGGTACTACGATGTTGATAGTAATTGTTACTGTCGTGATGGAATAGA